TTTGTTATCACATTTCCATGGCTGTGTTGTAAAAACTGCACAAGAAAATTCACCTCGGACAACAAATGACATATCATAAGTGATTTTAATTTAATAATTGTTATTGTTCTTTTTTATGATCGATAATTTTAGCATATTAGAAGAACAGTAAGGTTTTTATCACCCCCCCCCTTAAAAAGAGACACGAGATGTTTTGTTTCTTTTTTTTACAATCATTTTTGTCAGTTTATTGTTCATTTTAAAGGAGGAGGTTTATTGTGCCTTACATGCCCTTTATCTGTTTATATAGTCTATGCTCGTAAAATCTCGACGGAAAACTCAGTTTCATCTAATACTAGAGACTTTTATACACCCCCTTTGTCCTTGTGGGGTTTTTCCAGAATGAATTTATTCTTTTTTGGAGCAGTTTGAGGAACAGATTCGATCGCATCTTTCTACAATGTATTAATCTCGCACAAATGGCCTGAAGAGCTCTATCAAAGTAATTTTCCTCTCTAACCCTGCATTAAAGATGCATATGATACACATTGCTGAAATATAATTTATACGCAGTGAACGTCCAGTAATTGGAAGCCCCTCCCCCCTTTTTATGTTCTGCAAATGTGCACATGCATATAGGAAGTAACATTTTTGACTGATAGCAAGTCTCCATGATTAATAAATATCTGTTTTAGGAAAAGAATTATTTAAAAATAATTGACAATGTGTTTTTCCTGCTTGATTAATTGTAGACGACAATTTTGCTAAAATTAAGACAATTAAAACCGTACCTACATGCGTTTTTATGTCAGCTATGCAGATAAAAATGCAATACCAGGATTGAATTCGTAATTTGCAGTGAGGCTAGTGTCCATATCTTTTTCATGAAAAGATAATATTATCAGGATGAAGATTTCCGCACAGGATAAAGTTTTTAAAACGTAAAATTTAGACTGAGGCATAATTCTGTTTTTTCCTTCAAGCACGCGTTTCGTGCACCAGGTGTTCATTTCTAAATATTTATCCACTGACTATATCCACTGAATATTTTCTCCTATATTTCTTAAGAAAACCCACTGCGTTAATCACTGCATGAACTACATTAGGCATGTCACCTGTACAGATTTCTTAATCAGTGGCTGTTCCATCAATGAAACGTATAATTAATACAATAATTGAACTTTTTAATCCTTCTTTAAGTACCAGTCCGTGTAAAAATCATGCAAAAGTGATATTTGAGAGATACACTCAGGTTCTCAGAATTCAATGATTTTCCACACATTGATTTCTCTTGACCTATGATCCATGTATGTAAAATAAAAAATGTGTTAGATCATGGTTACTATGGAAACCTGATCAAAGTAATTTCCTTAGCAACCAGTCAATTTTTCTATTTGCAGGCACTGAAAATTACTGATCTTTAAAGCCTGATATTATGTATAAAAACTTTAACAATAAATCTCACTTATTGGTATGATAAAGACACACACTATATTTGTTTAAAACACACAAGACATTGATATTTTATCTGAAGCTAGTACTATGGTAGACATTAGAATATATGTATGTTTTTGCATTTTTGCTGATTCAGCATTTTCCTTGATTTTGACAATATTCAAGGTCAATTTAAAAAAAAATACCAAGCTAATACAGATTTTGCATGACTTTCACAGAAAAGTAGAGAGCTGTCTCTTTTACAGATTGACTTTGAAAGCGTGGGTTTTTTGAAAAATCCTATTCGTTGCCTAGCAACAAAATTGGATGTTTTGATAACTAAAAAGTGAAAAATGGTAAGGGATTGGGTCAAGAATCTTATCAATTTTATCTTTTTGTGGCAGTTACAATTTTTCAAGTAATAGAAAATAACTCTCATACAGTATAATTTTAAAACGAAAGAATAATTTACAATTATTAATCTCCATGGCAACAGGAATTTTTTCCCTAGCAACAATGCAAAAACAGTTTCAGTGCCTGCAAATAGAAAAATTGGCTGGTTGCAAAGGAAATTACTTTGATCAGGTTTCCATAGTAACCATGATCCAACACATTTTTTATTTTACATACATGGATCATAAGTCAAGAGAAATCTATGTGTGGAAAATCATTGAATTCTGAGAACCCGAATGAATCATCTTTTGCATAATTTTTATATGGACTGGTACTTAAATGATTATTTAAACAGATGTAAATATAAACAATGAAATATCTTTCTTTGTTTGTTATTACTGGAATTAACGGTCGCAGCTATTGCAGAAAAAAATTACATAACCCCCTTACGCGGGTTATGTATTTTTTCTGCAACAGCTTCTTCCGTTAAGTCCAGTAATAACAAACAAAGAAAGCATTTAATTGTTTAAATTAGAAGGAAATGAAATATGAGGCATTGTCACATGTACACTTTTAAATACGTATAAGCGAAATTTTTAGCGATGATTTAATTTTAGCATTATTAGCGAAGGTGCTAAGATCGGTAAAATTGAATATCGTTAAAAATTAATTGCGCTATATTTGTAATAGCTTCTTAGTGAGCTTTTTGAAATAGCTAAAATTACATCTTGCTAAAATGACATACCCATTTTTAAGGACAAATCGCCAAATTTGCGTCGATCTCGCTAAAATTTCCACTTATACGGTAACACCTGATTTCGGCTATAGAATCTCAGAAGTTTTCCTAAAATACACCTTCGGAAACAATGACCAAAATATACAATCCTCGCACATTAATTCTGGACAGATGCGGATTGAGAGTGACATGAGAAAATTCGTGCAAAAATCATTGAAACAATTCCTCTTGAGAAAGAGAATGAAAGAAGGAGAGGGAGCATTATATGTACATGTACTAAGTACATGTTTACAATACATGGTACATGGTCAAATATGTACTCCAAAAACACTGTAGATCAACTTGTCATACATGTACATGCACATGGAGTGGAATCGAAAGTGCATAAGAATAGTCCAGTGCATAATGCACCTGTTGTAAATCTGTTGAGTGGGGATGCAGCGGGTTGTACAAACAGCCTTGAATATGGTATGTCTAATTCCTGCGGGCATATCTCCCCCCACCACCACACACACACACACACAAAATAGGATTTTCGAGTTTGGGCATTTTTTTTGCTTGTCAACTTTTTTTCCGGTAAGTTATTATTTTTCTTTGGTTATCCCCTTTTCAAAAACGATGCTACGTCACTGTACAGTTGTGTAATTGTGGTTTGATTGGTTGATTAAATGACACATTAAAATAGCTTAAATAGAGTTATTAGTCCCATGCTAATATTTCATCAGTTTCAAGTTTTATTTGAATCAATTTAATTAGTTTTATTTCTATAACCTAATCAAAGTATAATATATATCCACCCTAAACCATGTAGACTAGTACTGTGATACAACACAAATTAGAGATTAAATGATTTCATTTTTATGATAATTTCTCATCTTTTCCTAAAACATGTAGGCAGCATTCGTCTTTGATTAACTGATCAAAGGATTCACAATTTTGCATTATCATTCCAACAGATTAATTTTTTTTTTAAATTGTCAAAATTTGTTTTTTAACTCTTCTTAGCAAATATTTTATAGAATAAGTAATTAACAGTTCCTACATTCCCCTCTGCAAATAAGATAAAGACAGATACCGAAATTTTTTTTGGAAGAAGTGGGGGGGGGGGATTCTAGACAATTGACGAGCAATAAAAAAGGGAAACAAAACGAACATTTTCATTTGTTATAGTAAGCATCCAAATTATACCAAGGGCTTTGTTTTCCAAATTCAATTATATACTAATAAAATATAAAATTATATTTCTGTGACCCGCCTTCCCGTTTCTTCATGTTTGTTTTTGAATTTTGGTACATAATGCTGTTTAGTTTGCAATAAACTTACATACCTTTATATGAAATCCAACGCCTTGGCTTTACACTTTGATTAGGTTCTATGCTTTTTATCATTGATATATAAATGTTAAATAAATAGTGAAAATAATCATGTTGAATAAGAGTAGATATGTTTTCTTTTTGTTTCTGCCCTAGTCTCAAGATAATATGCGATTTCTCCCCCCATGTTTGTGTTTTAGAAGTAAAAAGAAAATGCTCCTCGAAGATGAAAATAAAGGCGAAGATCGTGGCATTTGCTACTTCAAAGGATTTTCACCTTCAGTTTGCTGTACAGTGATTTGTAAATCATCATTTCTTTTTCATACTAAACATTGGGCTTCAGTAATTACACTTACGACTACTCATTATGTTGTTTAGTATAGGCATTTACTGTATGAAGAAATAATATAATTAATTTGCAAAATGCGGCAAACATTTATGACGTCAACTTTAGCGCTCGTTTTCTCGATAACGTCATAATGCAGATAAGGGTGGTTTTCGCTTATCTACGTACCATGTCAACGTACCATGTCAACATGAAAAGGTAAGGATAACGAAGAGTGATCGATATAAAAAAAAACCACACAAACAATAAATTGTATACAGGACATAAACACAAATTCCATCAAATTGCAGAGGTGGGATCGGATGCCTAGGAGCAAAACTATTGAGCATCCCCTTCTGACCAGATGCAGCATCCATGAGTCCTTTGATATAGATAGGTAGATTTCAAATTAATTATAAAATCAAATGCCTAACAATTGGCATAAAACACTTAAGATTAAATATGACCCAATAATAGCTATATTTGCTAACAAGGTTATTATGTGGATCTTCGTTCTTACAGAATGCTTCCTTTATACGATGGTGACATCCATCTTACAAATTAATCTCTAAGTAACCTGTATTTGTTCACAAACAAATTAAGAGCAATCTATTTAACATCTACTAAGATGAGAAATACAATATCAGAACATTTGCAAAAATTGTTCCATGTTTGCTTGATCTTTGATGGACATCACTTCCATCAACAATTTTCGAATAATTAGATCTGTGTAATCATAAATAAATGTGTTTTGAAATAATAGCGAGCGACAACGCCTGGGCAAAGAGAAAATTCGGACTTCCTCAGAATTTTTTTTCAGCAGTAATTTTGACCCACAATGCATCGCTTCGTATACAGACTGAAACCACGTTCTCGCAAGAATAATGATAAAAGTTAAAAGAAAAATAAACTTGCCTTGATTTAATGAATTTATCTTGCCGAAAATAGTCATAAACTGATTGAAATCAGCCCTGTTCAGGCTTCGGTTTGGTAAAGCAACATGCAAACGACGTCATGTGACGTCAGAGTCTTATATGCACCGAATGTCAAGTGCAGTTTGACGAGTCCGATTTAAATGAAAACTGGATAAGTTCTGCGCTCGCCCTAACGGTCGCACCGTCCACATATTATGTTCCATACACAAATCTTTTAATTAATCATTCCTTAATATTTTGATCAGTTTCTCCCAAAAGTCATCATAAGCACAAGATTCTTCGGGATATTCAATAAAACAGTCTTTCTTCACAAGGCTCATAACTTTACTAGGATAGCCACTGTTGTACACTTCCGGTAACAAGATCAGAATAACAAAATCTGTGCTTCCACGATCCTTGATTTCCTCCACTTTAGCCATGTTGAGCTCATAGTCACGCCATTTTGACTTAAGATATCTCTTGGAAACAATACCTAGAACCTTTTTACTTTCATGAATTCCAGTCATAATAGAATCCACTTTAGACAAGCCTGGGAGATAATCCCTGTCTCTTACAAGAAGTCGTAATCCAGCGTTAGTTTCAAGCCGGGGTATGATATCTCTCCGCACAAATGTTCTCTCCATTCCAGCATAAGATAGGAAGACATAATATCTATAGTTTAAATCTGTAGAATTATAATTAGCATGTTCGTCCCTAACTCGCAATTTTAGTTTAGTTTTGTAAATAATGTAACGAATCTTCCATCGGTTTCTGACCAGTAAAACTACTGTCAACAAGCTTATACATACAGCAAGTGAAACAGAGCCTGCTAAATACCAAGTCAAAAATGACCTACAATTGCTCTCTAAAATAGAAATGGACCGATCCAGATTTTGAAATGAAAATTTCAGTTTTTCTGGCGAGCACTGATATTGCTGAATATTTACAAAATTAGCTCTATTAATCCTTAACCATTTAAGAAATTTTTCATTATCACAGGAACAGCCTAATAGATTACCAGAAAGATCTACGATTAACTTAGATCTTTGAAAGGCATTCAACAAATGTTCGACTAATTTAATTTAATATAATAAATTTGTCATATGATCAATTTTTAAATTCCATCTTAATATTTGGTTGTCACTGATATTTAAATACTTTAGCATCGAAGAATTTTTCAGCAGTAAGTTTGGAAGTTTGGAAATTCTACAGAACGGAATATCTAAGTTCTCAAGGGATAAAAAAGACTTAAACGTATCTCCCAATACATCTTTCTCCAGATCTTTGCCAATGTCATTGTGGGATAAATTTAAATTCTGAAATTGTCCTCCATCATCAAGTATGTATGGGGATAAGTAGGATCAAAAATTGTTCGAAATGTCCCATATTATTTTGGTATTTGTTTGTTGTAAATAAAGAGGACCTTCCAAATAGTACACAACGTTATCCCGTAAATTCACAATGCGGAGATTTGGCGCAAAGATGAAAGCTATATTAACTTTCCCATGAAGTCGACTAGAATATGCATATATTTCTTCTAGATTTTTTGGAAATATAAGAGTCACGTTTGTACTAGTGTCGAGGTCTTTTGGAGTTTGGTGATTTAAAACTTCTTGGCAATTGCAAACAGCATCATTACACAATTCAGTCTTTTCTTTACAATAATTTTTAATGGCATCAAGGGGATTTGGTGGATACCTCTGAAAACTTACATTGAATACTCGCAAGTTTTCCATCGTGCTAAATTCTGGCCGAATTGTCATTTTGTTTTCAGCCACCGATAATATCTTCAAGGATTTTGGAAGATTTCGTAAAACTCCCCGAGCAAAATATTTCAATCGGTTACTGGCTACAAATAATTCAGTAAGGTTAGTGTCTTTGAAAGAAAGAAGATGATGACATTTTATTTCTGTTCCAACTACGGCTTCACAATTAATTCCATTAATACTCAGAGATTGTATCTGAGTTTTGTTCAAATTATATGTTACATTTGGCAGGGACGCAAACTCTAGCTGGCAATTGAAGGAAATATTAAGATGTTGTAATTTTGGCATGATGCTGAATGCTCCCTCATCTATATCCTTTACATTGCAGTAAGCTATATCCAACATCTGAAGAAATGGAACATTTTTAAACATTTGCAAATCAGTAGAATCGAGATAGGAATTTCCTACATTCCCCGACATATCTAAAACTTTAAGATTCCTTAAACGCAAGAAACTTTTTAAAAATTTTGTGCTTGCCATCCCATTCATTTTTATTATTGAAAGAAAATACAGATTTGCGAAACAATCTCCTGGAAAGACTTATGTTATATTGATTGACACTGTTTCGTTTTATGTTCAGTACTTCTAAGGACTACAATCCTTTTAAAAGGTTCCCAAACTTTGAATATTTTAACTGATTTCCCTCTAGGTTCAAAAACCGAAGTCTTGCTAAACGTTCGAAAGGATTTCCATCAACAGTCGTTAAGTTATTTTCAGATAAATCGAGATATATCATCTTTTCTGGCAGTTTTGTACTCTTTGACTTGGTAGCCCTGATCTTGTTTTTACTGAGGTTTAACCAAGTAACGCTGTCATTCATAACTGGTATAGCAGTAAGATTCCGTTTTGAACAATCCACACGAATTCCATTCTCGTATGAAAAACAATCACACTCAATACTATCAAACCGACAAGAAGTAGTTTCCCCTGCATCCATTTGTAAAACGTTTATTACAATAGTCAAAGAAAACCAAACGAGATATGGTACTCTTTTATTCATAGTTTTGGCTGCAGAAATGTCGTTTCTTCTCTGTGTTTTATGAGTAGATACTAAGTGACATATTGCGATAAATGTGTAACTTAACCGTAAAAGATTTTATATGGATGAAAAAATCAACAAGGAAGCTTAAATTATGTTATGTTGTACAAGTAGTGTGAACACTTGATATTGCAAAAGTTTAATTCGCATTTCTTTTAATAGTTTTATGACAATGCATTTATACTTACTTGAGATATGAGTAAAATTAAAATGTGTTTTGTAGAAAATCACTCAGGTGCGGATCTAGGGGAGGGGTGGCGGATGGGGGTTCCATTCTAGTCAAAACAACTTTTCCAACCAAGAAATATCAAGACAAATTAAAAGACCGTAACTCATTCTCCACCATGAGATGGAGGGGTACTTACATGTGTGACTTTTCATACATTTTTTACAAAGATCTACATTTTCGAGAAAAAGTCCCGTTTTCGTGAAGGGGGGGGGGGTTCATTTTCATTTGTACTCTCTTTAGTATTACATTTAGTCAGAATAATCTAACTGTGTCTCGGGAAAAGTCCTCACCACAGTTAGAATACGTCTTATATATTTGCAACGTACTCACCACAGTTAGAATACGTCCTATATATTTGCAATGTAGCGACTTGGAGCCGCTCCGAAATGATTTTGATAAATACCAAAGGGGTTTGGCTAAGAATAACTACCAAATTATTCAAAACAAACCCTTTTGAGATTGTATAAGCCTTTTATTCCGAAAATTAAAAAAAATTAAGACGAAAGTTTAGCTAATTTTTTCAACAGTTTCCTTGCTTCAAATTAACCTGCCATAATTACATTCGGAACTCTCTTGATCGTTCGTAGTAAATGCTTTGAGTACGATCGCGAGTTATCGTCCGTGTTTCTCTTTTGCTACATTATGAACACACTGAACTTATTCTATCTTGAAGCGGGTCCGTAAGACAATTAGCATTTTAATGATACAACGCTCTATTCAGCTTTTGTATATACATATGAGAGCTTTACATATTCCGTGGGGGTGTCTAGACCCTCTTCCTTTCTAGATCCGCACATGCTGAGAATAATTACAGGTTTGAGACAAAAACATTCATCTGTTTGCCGTACTTGTTTTCTTTCAGCTATATCAATAATTCGTTATTCAGTGTTTATTAGAATTGAAATACCTATTCTGTGTTTAAAGAATGGGTGGACTTTGATGTGCATTTTATTCCTACGAATAACTACTTTTTTAACGGAAGACTTATGGAAGAAATGTTTAAGACTTAATTTTTGCAAATGAAAGCTAAGTAAGAACTGGCTGGCATGGGTTAACTGATGCAAAATATTTTCCTTGAACCTCTTTTCACTGAAATGGCACCTCACAGTCCCGATGTTTATCTCTTTAATTATAACAAAAAAGGCACGTGTAGTAAAGAACAGGACAAGCATACTTATGATTACAATTACTTGGAGAAATATCTGTAGAATTAAATGTTGATGACTAAACACAAAAAGAGGAAGCACACTAATGGCGAAACGTACATATGTAGATGAATCTTCGTTTGTTGAACAGACATATTTAAGATTTGATAACTTTAGAGAAGGTGTAAATAATTGATACTAATAGATATAGACAGACGAAAAAAAGGAATTGCTAGCAATTAATCCCAAGAGAGACCAAATGAAATACTACTATATTTACATTACATATGTTTTCGCATATCATCAGAATGGAATATGTCCTGCATTCAAAACACCATAACACGGACAGGTCGCCTAAAGGTTCAAGCATGTGTTTTAGTTTGACATCACAATTGCTGAACGCCGAGGAAGTGCAACATCATAAGCGAAAATCAAAAAGTCACGCTCACATTGATCAGAAGCTCTTATGTTGGCTGTTTCATTTATTGTAGCTTATTCGAAGGATAATACATAGGTGTTTAAATATAAACCACATTTGCAGTCAAGGTAGAGAGTTGAAAAATGTAAATATAAGCAATGAATAATTATTTTTTGAAAAATATAGTCTAATAACTGCAACGGTGTGTGCAAACAAATTTTCATATAGCACAAACGCGCGTTACTCAATTTATTTTAAAAAAAAATGGTTTATTGCTTATGTTAATGCGGGATGAGATCATCCGCAAGATTGATTTTTTAAGCTCACCTGAGCCGAAGGCTCAATTGAGGTTTTCTGATCAAAATCTAGCCACTGTCTGTCGTTGTCGTTGTTGTCGTCGTAAACTTTTCACATTTTCATCTTCTTCTCAAGAACCATGTACTGAGCCAATTTCGACCATACTTGCCACAAAGTATTCTTGAGTAAAGGGAATCCAAATTTGTTCAAATGAAGGGCCAAACTCTCTTCCAGGGGAGATAATTATAAATAAATGAAAAATTAATGGCATGTTTTAAAATCTTCTTCTCCAGAACCACTGGGCCAGGAAAAATGAATCTCATGTGAAGGCATCCTCAGGTAGTGTAGATTTACGTTTGTTCAAATCATGACTCCCGGGGGTTGGTCGGGGTCACAATGGCTGATCAAAGCTTAACATAGGAATAAATAGGAATTTTTCTTTAAAAAAACTTCTCCAGTACTATTGGACCAGAAAAAATGAAACTCATGTGGAATCATCCTAAGATAGTGTAAATTTAAATTTATTCAAATCATAACCCCCGGTGGAAGGGCGGGGCCACAATGACAATAAGTTTCTCATAGAAATATATAGGAAAAATCTCTAAAAATCTTTTTCTCCAAATCCATTGGGCCAGCAAAGATGAAACTAATGTGGAAACATCCTAAAGTAGTGTAGATTCAAGTTTATTCAAATCATGACCCCTGATCGATGATAGGGTGGGGCCACAATGGCTGATAAAAGTTTTACATTGAAAAAATAGGAATAAACTTTTAAAAATTTTCATCTCAAAATCAGCTAAGATTCGATTAGTGATATTTATATGGAAACATCAGGTATTCATAGGAAAAATATTTAAAACTCTTCTTCTCAAGTATTACAAAATTATACATGTATGCTTTATTGATTAGTGACATTCTCAAGTAATACAAATTCAAATCCCCCCTCTCCAAACAAGTAAACTTTTCAATAGTGAGCTGATTTGTGTTTTTTAACTAGCCCATGTGCTCAGGTGAGCAATGTGGCCCATGGGCCACTGGTCATTTGGTTTACATGATTTGACTTAATAATTGGTTAAGGGTTTCTAATCATCATACAAATCTAAAATAGTTAACTTAACATGTATAATCAATAATTTTCTGGTTATTTTGATATTTTACGGAGCAGCTATGCTTACATGTGCATGTACTCACATGTAATAATGTTTTTGTACATACTTCTCATTATAAATAGTCGCCTGTGCGGCGCAGTGGTTAGAGCGTCTGCTCTAGAATCGCGAAGTAAGGAGTCAATCCTTACGTCGCGGGTTTGAATCCCACTGTGAGACGTGGAGACCGGTCCTTCGGATGAGACCAAATAAACCGAGGTCCCGTTTTGCAGTAGGTGTTGGCACGAAAAGATCCCACCCTGCTCAATGGCTCTGAGTGCCGAGTATAGGACAAAATTTGCAGCTCTCCACCGGCAAGTAGTGGCGTCTCCATATAAGTGAAAATTTCTCGAGAGGGACGTTAAACAATGTACAATCAATCAATCATAAGAAATATATCACTACTTTGTAGTGTTTGCAAGTCAGGTGGCATTGCTGTGTTTGTTAAAAATGAACTATTTGATAATGTAAAAATAATTTCTCGAAAGAACAGGTTATTTTTGGTATTGTTTATATTCCTCCTGAGGGTAGTTGTTATAGTTCCGTTGACATTTTTAATGATGTTGAATCTGAAGTTGTTAGATTAATTGCTGAGAATAATTCTAAAATCTGTTTGATGGGTGATTTTAATTCTCCTGATTTTATTAACATTGATACACAGATTTGTGAGTCATTGTTTTTGAACCCTGATATATTGAATATTGATACTTGTAGCAATGCAGAAATTATAACAAGATGTAATATGGATAAGTCTGTCAATAACTATGGTAAACGTTTAGTCAACTTGTGTAAAAGTTTAGACATGCTTATAGTAAATGATAGAGTTGGTAAGGATGGGGGATTGGGTCATACCACTTGCAAAGATACAACAGTTGTTGACTATTGTATAGCTTCACCTACTATTTTTAAAAACATTATTGAATTTCAAGTACTACCTTTTGATCCCATGATAAGTGATGTTCACAGTGCATTGCATTTTGTTTATTCTTGTACGGAGAAACAAAAGATTGATTCCCTAATCACAGAGAATGATGATATATGCATTAAATCTAAGTGGATAAAAGAGAATACTACTGATTTTGTGTATCATCTTGAAGAAATTGATGTTTTAAACCATAGAATTGAAACCTTGGATTTTAATGCAATTAACCAGGAGATAGTTGATGATATAATTAATGATTGTAATACAATAATTGAAGTTGCTGCTTCATCAAGTGGTATGATCAAACCCTACAAACTTAATCATCATGAACATAAGAAATCTAAATATAATAAACCTTGCTTTAATGCTGATTGTAATGTAAAGCGCAAAAATTATCACAAATCTAAGAAATATCACTGGCGTATGAAAACTACAGAGTCTAGAAATAATTTACTACAATGTAGTAAAGAATACAAAAAAATTGTCAATAAATGTTACAATGAATACAAGAAAAAAATTTATTTGCAAAGTAAGAAACCTGCAAAACAATGACCCTAAGTCATTTTGGACTTTGATTAACAAATCAGGTACACAGAGTAGAACGATCAAGGATAAAGTTAGCTTAGAGACTTTTTTTAAGACCATTTTAAGAAACTTAATTCAGACAGTAGTGATGATGACATTGACAATTTTGATATTGAAAATATTACAGAGTTAAATGGTGATCTGAATGCTGAAATTACATTAGAAGAAGTACAAAAGGTGATCAAGTCACTTAAGAACAATAAAGCTTGTAGTAATGACCTTATACTAAATGAATTTCTTAAAAACTCTCAAACAAAGATGATCAGTACTTTTACAAAAATCTTTAATCTTGTTTTTAAAACTGGAATAATACCCTCATCTTGGTCTGAAGGAGTTATTTGTACTATATACAGGAACAAAGGTGATACTAGTGATCCTGATAATTATCGTGGAATAATTGTATTAAGTTGTTTTGGTAAGTTGTTTACTGCAATATTGAACAATAGACTAAATAAATATCTGGAGAGTATGAATCTTCTATGTGAGGAGCAAGCTGGGTTTAGGAAAAGTTATAGTAGAGTTGATCATATTTTCAGTTTGAAGTGTTTAATTGATTTTTATTTACAGCGCAAAAAGCGACTTTATTGCGCATTTGTTGATTATAAAAAAGCATTTGACTCTGTTAACAGGATAGCTCTTTGGCATAAACTGTTACGTCATAGTATTGACGGAAATTTTCTTAAAGTTGTTTATAGCATGTATGATAATGCAAAGTCGTGCATCCGGCAGGGTATCAATGTGTCGGAGTATTTTTATAGTAATGTCGGTGTACGTCAAGGTGAAAACTTGTCACCTGTTTTGTTCTCAATATTTTTGAATGACCTTGTTGATTTTATTGCTAGGGCATATGATGGTTTAACAAATATTACAGAAGCTGTACATTTTTTGCTTAGTACTGAAGAGGTAGACATTTTCCTGAAACTTTACTTGTTACTATATGCTGATGATACTGTAATTTTGGCTGAGTCAGCGCCTCAATTACAAGCTGCTTTAAATGCAATGTTTTTGTATTGTAAAACTTGGAAATTGCAAGTTAATACATCTAAAACAAATGTTGTTATTTTTAATAAACCTAAAACTGACAATACATCAATAGTATTTACATATGATTACCAAAACTTATCAGTTGTTGATGAATTTGTTTACTAAGTTGTAACTTTTTCAAGTAATGGATATTTTGTTAGTAATAAAACTAAGCTACTTGAGCAAGGTAGGAAAGCTATGTTTCGTTTACTCAAAAAAGTAAGATATCTGGATTTACCTTTAAATATTCGGCTGAAACTTTTTGACAGTATGGTAACACCCATATTACTTTATGGCTGTGAAGTATGGGGATTTGATAATAACAATGTCATAGAAAGTTTATATTTACAATTTTACAAAATCATTCTAAATCTGAAAAAAACTACCTCTAATCAGGTTTTATATGGTGAACTAGGCACATACCAAGTAGAAATTTTTATTAAGTCCAGAGTTATTGGATTTTGGTATAGACGTGTTTGTGGCAAACATGACAAAATATCTTTTCTTTTATATAAATTATTGTTAAAATTTAGAGAACATGGCTTAATGCAGCCTAAGTGGATTAATTATGTTGAAAAAACACTAAATGATTGTGGAATGTCTGAGTTATGGTTCAACAGTTTTCTCCAAAAAAAATATTGATGTCAAAATTGGTAAAAACTAGATTAATTGATCAATTTAAGCAGAATTGGTATGCCTGTATTTTTGAGATGCCAAAGACCCTTAATTATAGGATACCGGTATTTAAATTAGAACATTATTTTGAAAATTATTTGATATATCTACCAAAGGATCTGAGAAAAGTTTTATGTAAATTTAGATGTATGAATCACAGATTTCCTATTGAAAAAGGTCGATTTTGGGAAGTTGATAGAGATGATTGTATTTGTGATCTTTGTTTCTCTAACAATTTAGGAGATGAATTCCACTACCTTTTAGAATGTTCTTTTTTCAAGAGTGAACGAAAAAAATTTGTTCCAAATATTTTTCATGCTAACCCTAATGTTATCAAATTTCATGACTTATTAAATTGTAAGGATACGAAAGTTATTTTTGGGCTCGCCAAATTTTGTAAAATTTTATTGTCAGTAATATGTTAATATTAATACCAAAACTACTATTTAACAATTGTTATAAATACATGTAGTTTTATTCTGTATAAGCAAGGGCCTTCTATACTTTATTATTTGAACTACACATGTGAATTGTACATGTAAATAACATTAGTACCACTCATTCTTTCATGCATTTTTGTTTATATGTAAAAACTTGTATTATTTGTATTCATATACCCCAGTTGGGGTCTTTGTCTTAAATAAAAACTTGAACTACAATACGAAAGATGTCATTCCTCCAAGACATTTCTTTTCGTGTTAACATTATATACATTTATTTTTTATTTTGTTCTTTTGCATACTTATTTTTCTAGTATTTTTGCGGATTTGGTTCTGTGTTTAGTATTCTTCTATTTATATCCGGTTTTAGGCAGATTTCAACAACCCATGGCTTTGCTCGCTATCTTCCATGAACATATTCTTCCTTTTGACACTAATGATTCAATGTGTGAACTGAACAGTATATCTAAGTCATGGATAGTAAATATTTATTTATATATCCTTTTGTATGTCGCCAACTATGTTGTTGCATATTTCAATATTCATTATCATATCACAGTGTTACGAATTCTCCTAATACTCGGATGCATTAAAGAACACAGGTTCTGCAATTAAAATGAGACTTAGTTCATTGAATTCGTAAAATGAATATATTGCATTGCCAATTTTTTTAATGAAATTTCCAAAATATTGTATGCAAAGGCAGAACCTTATGTAAAACTTTAATACTTTGCAATTACCAATGCCTTTATCCTTACAACTTATTTTGAATGGAGACAATAATCTTACTTACAACCAAAATAGAGCAGTATTTAGATTTGTTTAAGAATTTATTGCAACTACAAAGAAAATTGCATGATATTTTTTTTTCTTTTGTTTTGTTTTTAAATTGTCGAACCACAAAACCAACATCTATATGTGTTTTCTTATTTCTTTTTTCAAATTTAAACACTTATTAATATAATTGCCAGTCATATATATTATAATGCAAGCTTAAATTATATCATCACCTCATTTATATTTTTTTTCTTTTTAATTTGCCTTTTTAATATATATTTCTATTGAATATACACATGTATACATTTACATTTTTCAATGTTATTTAGTTTATCTACTTGTACATGTATGACCTTGATCTTTGTATCATAGAGAGGACTTACATAGGGAGTGCCTGCTGTTCAATCCTATTATGTTTATATATAATAAAATATTGTTTGGGTAAAAAAAAGGCTTTTGATACTTTAAATGGTACAATTCTTATCTACTCCTCACTCTTTAGCGGCCTTACAAAAAAACGTTTAATTGTTTTTTAATTAACAAGTATGCTTCAAATTCGTAAAACTGTACTTTGCGATCAGTGTATTACATAAAACTTATAAATGCTAACATTTCAAATTAAGATATTTGTTTTTTTTAGTATATGAAACAATGAACATGATTTCATCTAAAATAAATCAAGATTGTGGACTAATAAAAGTGAATATTGTTTAAATAATAATAAGGAAAAAGATATATGTACAGTTGTATTATAAAAAGTCAAGGTACTAAGTCAACATGAACAAGGAAAAGACAACGAACAATGATCTACCTCAATAGTCAAAAACATTTGTGTCTTCTATATAGGGCTTAAACACGAATTCCATCAAACTCCAGATGTGGGATCGGATGCCTAGGAACAGGGAGCATCCCTTGTTGACCAGATACAAAATCCATGAGTCCTTTGAGATAAATAGGAAGACAAAACATTCAATTTTAAAATAACGATAAAATGAAATGCCTTAGAATTGGTATAATTAGCCCCTAAGCTTAAATATGACCTAATGATAGTGATATTTGCTAACAAAGTTATTGTGTGGACATTTCTTGCTACAAAATGAAGTCTTCAAATGATGGTGAAACCCCTGTTACACAAATAATCCCAATGAAAACTGTTTTGTTAACAAATTAATTAAAATCAATATACGTAATATCGAAATTGAGAAATATAATATCAAAAAAAAAAAAAAAAAAAAAAAAATTGGACAAATCGTTCCATGCGTGCATGATGTTTGATGGACATAACTTCCCTAGACAATATTCAAATATTCAGATCTGTGTAAACATAAATAAATGTGTTTTAAAATAGTATAATAATATATTCCATACAAATTTTTTTAATCATTTTTTAACATTTTGATCAGTTTCTCCCAAAAGTCATCATAAGCGCAGGATTCTTCGGGATATTCAATAAAACAGTCTTTCTTCACAAGGCTCATAACTTTACTAGGATAGCCACTGTTATACACTTCCGGTAACAAGATCAGAATAACAAAATCTGTGCTTCCACGATCCTTGATTTCCTCCACTTTAGCCATGTTGAGCTCATAGTCACGCCATTTTGACTTTAAATATCTTTTGGAAACAATGCATAGAACCTTTTTACTTTCATGAATTCCAGTCATAATAGAATCCACTTTAGACAAGCCTGGGAGAGAATCCCTGTCTCTTACAAGAAGTCGTAATCCAGCGTTGGTTTCAAGCCGGGGTATGACATCTCTCCGTACAAATATTCTCTCCATACCAGCATAAGATAGAAAGACATCATATTCATAGTTTAAATCTGTAGAATAATAAACATTTTGTTTGTCCCTAACTCGGAATTTTAGTTTAGTTTTGTAAATAATATAACGAATCTTCCATCTGTTTCTGATCAGTAAAACTCCTGTCAACAAGCTTATACACATAGCAAGTGAAACAGAGCCTGCTATATACCAAGTCAAAAATGACCTACAATTATCCTCTAAAATAGAAATGGACTGATCCAGGTTTTCAAATGAAAATTTCAATTTTTCTGGCGAGCACTGATAATGCTGAATATTTACAAAATTAGCTCTATTCATCCTTATCCATTTAAGAAATTTTTCATTGTCACAGGAGCAGCCTAATAAATTACCAGAAAGATCCACGATTAACTTAGATCTTCGAAAGGCATTCTCCAAATGTTGGCGGGTTTTCTCATCAAAATATCTTATCCGATTATTTGATAGGTCCAACAATAATAAATTTGTCATATGATCAGTTTTTAAATTCCATCTTAATATCTGGTTGTCACTGATATTTAAATACTTTAACCTCGAAGAATTTTTCAGCAGTAAGTTTGGAAGTTTGAAAATTCTACAGAACGAAATGTCTAAGTTCTCAAGGGATAAAAAAGTCTTGAACGTTTCTCCCAATTCATCTTTCTCCAGATCTTTGCCAATGTTATTGTGGGATATATTTAAATTCAGGACTTGTCCTCCATCATTTAGTATATACGGGGATACATGGTAGATAAAATTATTGGAAATGTCCAATGTTAATTTGGTATTTGTTTGTTGAAAATAGAGAGGACCTTCCAAAGACAACAATACGTTATCCCGTAAATTTACGATGCGAAGATTCGGCGCAAAGAGGAAAGATTTATTTACCATCCCAAAAACTCGACTAGAGTAAGCATATATTTCTTCTAGATTTTTTGGAAATATAACAGTCACGTTCGTACTAGTACTGATGCCTTTGGGAGTTTGGTGATTTAAAACTTTTTGGCAAATGCAAACAGCATCATTACATAACTCAGTCTTCTCTTTACAATAATTTTCAATGGCATCAAGGGAATTTGGTGGATACCTCTGAAAGCTTACATTAAATACTCGCAAGTTTTCCATCGTGCTAAATTCTAGAAAATATGGCCCAACTGTCATTTTGTTTTCGGCCACCGATAATATCTCTAAGGTTTTTGGAAGATTTCGTAAAACTCCTCGAGCAAAATATTCCAATCGGTTACTGGCTACATATAATTCTGTAAGGTTAGTATCTTTGAGAGAAAGGAGATGATGGCATTTTATTTCTGTTCCAACTCCGGCTGCACAATTAAGTCCATTGATATTCAAAGATTTTATTTGAGTTTTGTTTAAATGATATGTTACATTAGGCAGGGACGCAAACCCTAGCTGGCGATTGTAGGAAATATTAAGATGTTGTAATTCTGGCATGTTGCTGAATGCTCCCTTATCAATATCTTTTACATTGCAGTAGGATATATCCAAAACCTCAAGGAATGGAACATTTTTAAACATTTGCACATCAACATAATCGAGAATGCAATTTCCTATATTCCCAGACATATCTAAAACTTTTAGATTCCTTTAACGCAAAAAACTTTTTCCAAATTTTGTGCTTGCTATTCCATTCATTTTTATTATCGAAAGAAAATAAAGATTTTCAAATACATCTCCTGGAAAGGCTTTCTTATATGGATTGCCACTGTTTCCTTTTATATTCAGTACTTCTAACGCCGATAGTCCTTTAAAAAGGTCCTCGAAGTTTGAATATTTTAAATGATTTCCCTTTAGGTTCAGAAACCGAAGTCTTGTTAAATGTTCGAAAGGTTTTCCACTGATTGTCGTTAAATTATTATCAGATAAGTCGAGAGATATCATCTTTTCTGGCAGTTTTGTACTATTTGACTGGATACTCCTGATCTTGTTGTGACTGAGGTCTAACCAGGTGACACTGTCATTCATAACCGGTATAGCAGTAAGATTCCGTTGTGAACAATCCACACGTATTCCATTTTCGTATAAAATACAATCGCACTCAATACTACCGAACCGACAAGTAATCTCCCCAGAAGTCATTTGTAAAATGTCTATTAATATCGTCACAGAAAACCAAATGAGATTTTTTATTCTGTTTTTCATCATAGTTTTAGCTGCAGGAATACCGTATCTACTGCGATTTAAGAGAAGATACTATGTGATATATCACAAAAATGTGTAAGTTAATCGTAAAAGATCTTTATATGGATGGGGAAATCAACAAGGAAGTTTAAATTATGCAATGTTATACAAGACGTGTGAACACTTCATATTGTAAAAGTTTTAATTGCATTTCATTTCCGTAGTTTTGTAACAGTCTTCATATTTGTTTGAGATATGTGTAAAATTAACAAAGGTACATGGATACAGATTTGAAGTTAATATTTTCTATGTAATATTACGACTTATATATTTTGATAGCATTTTACACAAAAATAAATTACAAATCTTATTTCATCTAAAAGTTATTAACACTTCAAACTTTTAGACGGGTTTGATTGACACAACCTTGCACTTTCATAGATTTTAATTTTATTCTTAATTAATACTTAGGAAAAGTGGCGATCTTGTTGTGTATAAATGAAAAATATTAAACCTATAATGCAGAAAATTCAGAGTAGTGTTCAAAAGCAAATAATATTTTTCATTAAAACACATTAAGATTGCCACTTTTCCTAAGTATTAAGAATAAAAGTAAAATGTGTGAGAGTGCAAGGATGTGTCAATCAAACACATCAATAAATTTGAAATTTCAATAATATAAGATGAAATAAAATATTTGATAAAGTTTTGTGTGAAACGCTTTTAAAATATTTAAGTCGTGATATTATAAAGAAAATATTAACTTCAAATCTATGTCCACGCACCTTTAAAATGTGTTTTGAAGAAAAACACAGAGTAGGCACGGATACAGGATTTTCCAGGGGGTTGGTGGGGGCATCCCAATCAAAAAAAATTACCAACCCAGACATTTCTTTACAAGAGAAAGATTTTAAAAACTTAACTCGTTAGCCAAACTTGAAAACTATTTCGGTAGGAGGGGGTCATACTTCATACCCATGACTTTTTATAACCTATTTCTCGAAGATTTGCATTCTTGGGGAGGAATTTCAGGGGGAAAAGGGGTACCCTTTAAATCCGCACACGTTGAGGATAATTATATATTAGTATTCAAAACATTATAATATCACTTCACAGTCCATAATAATTATCTCTTTTTATTTTAAGAATTGTACTTGTAGCAAGGAACAGGAAAAGACAACTTATGATTACAATTACTTATTACAGAGAATTTTCTGCACATTGTCAATTAAATGTTGATGACTAAGCACAACAAGAGGAAGCTCACTAATGGCAAAATGTAAGAATACCGATGAATCGTCGTTTGTTGTTCAGACATATTTAACATTTGATTACTCAAGGGAAGGAGAAAATAATTGATAATAATAGATTGATTGTATGTTGTTTAACGTTCCTCTCGAGAATTTTTCACTTGCCGGTGAAGGGCTACAAATTTTGTCCTATGCTCGGCTCTCAGGGCCTTTGAGCAGTGAGGGATCTTTTTCGTGCCAGCACCTACTGCGACACGGGGCCTCGGTTTATACGGTGTCATCCGAAGGACCGGTCTCCACGTCCCACAGTGGGATTCGAACCCGTGACGTAAGGATTGACTCCTTACTTCGCGACTCTAGAGCAGACGCTCTAACCACTGCGCCACGCGGGCGACTGATAATAATAGATAAATACAGACAAAAAAAGGAATTATTAGCAATTATTTGAGAGAGAAACCAAATGATATACTGAGATACAGGTAGCCAAATGTTTTTCAAAGAAGTTTACTTTTAACTATTACTATCATGCAGCAGATTTCCAAGAGGAATGCTTAGACAATTGTCGCTTTATTTCATATAAACTTTTAATTTTCATTGTATAACCTTAATGGGATCAAAGATAAACGTAAAATGTTTACTCTTTATTGTGCATTGTGTTTTTCTAAATACATGTATCAAAGAATTTTGTAAAATCAAATTCCTTAAAGCTGAACACGATTCGTAAAAGGGATCTGTCCGCCATTTTTGTTCCCGAGTCTCGCTATTCTGCAGACCCCTATCAATAGGGCAAAACTTAGACACTGCTCAGTGTAATCAACCGACACCGGTGTAGAAGGACGTATGCTATATAGAACTCTGTAGCGAAAATAATAACGTAATACTTCGTCTAATGCAGGAAAATTAGGTACCAAATAAATTTACAATTATAGCTGTATAAGTCAGTGCAATATACAAACGACACAAATAAAGGTAATTGCAATAAAATATAAACAAAGGTAATGCAAGATAACCAGCACGAACACGGGTCGCCATTCCACGCCAATACCCGTGACAATAAAGCAGTCAGGTGTAACGAATTCGACGAATATACCCTAGTATTGATGTATCGTAGATAATGCTATCGAAAATGGCGTATGCCTATTTACAAGTCGTGTTCAGCTTTAAGTAGAAAAGTGATCATAGGAGACACTGCCTTCTGCATTTATCCATACGATTTTTCAAAGTAAATAAGACAAAGAATATACCGCTGAGTTTGCCACAACTCTTTCAAATTTCGATATTTTACTAACTTTGGACAAGAAGTACCACCTAAATGAAAATTTTTTACTATCTATATTCAAATTCGATTATATTGTGAACATTCTCATTTTTGAATATCGCATGCACCAATGTTTGGGTTGCAGTAACAAATACCCTTGAAATGCGCACAAAATATAACAATGAATAGGCAGTTATATTTTAAGCATATTTAGCTTAGTACAGACAGTTGCGTAGAGGGTTCTCTTGTCTATTTTTGTAATATTTTGATCACATGACGGTCAATTATGATTGCTTTAAGTGTTTCACTGAGTGTTTCTTAATTGTTTCCAAAACTACAAAAAAAAATAATAATAATAATAATAACAAACAATTTTAGCGGGTGCCAGTAAATGTTAAATCAAGCCTTTTTCTTTACCACTCACTTAGACAATAAGGGTTGTGAAGGAGAAACCTCAAGTGTACTTTACAAAAATACATTCTAGAAGTGCTGTAAATCAGATGTGGATGCTTAAAAACTTATATACGACTTTTCAACAATAAAAACAACCTTTCCAACGATAAACCAAACTTCAAGCTTTCTGACATCGTATACAGATGCTTTTTTGATAAAATTCTTAATAATTTCTACTTACCATTTTAAAATTTTATGAAGATTATCTTTGAATGTTTTAACAAATAAATTACAATACTAGTAATCTGATCAATAGTATGGAGATGGATACGTTGTTGACACCCTATTATTTATAAAGATAAATAAATGCGTTTAAAATAATCGAGATTTAACTCATGATTTTTTTATATTCTTACATTCAATTAATATGTTTTTTTAAATAAGAGTCAACTAAAAATTATCCACCAATTAAAAGGTAATAATTTTAAACACGGACATATAAATGTTACATAAACAACTTCCATTTCAGGTTTCCTCATTGTTTCCCGTTATAATTAATCTTAAGTCCCTTGAAGTGTTCAGTTGCCCTCCTCCTCTGAATACCTGGCCTGTTCATCATACGATCATGGTAGGCATTGATTGCTGGAAATTTATCAAGACAGGCCGGAGACAAAGTGACCAGGCATTCCAGGAGATCAAACAGATTATAGTCCGTAAAGCAGATCTGAAAATCAAATCAAACTCATTTTTCTTTAAAATATTATGACTGTCATATTACTCATTAAAATAATACAGTAACCAATTGTTTTGAAGTAAATTCTGTTAACCCCTTGATCTCGTATATATTCAAAAGATTGGTTTTTAAAATAAGAAAACTCAAAATCTTAAAATTTATTGGAATCTTCAAGACATAATTTTGATACCAAACCTTGCTTCCAAGTACATAATCTCCACTTTTCATCAAGTTCTACGAAACAAAATTGAATCTTTTTCTTAAAATATATGTGTTTAAATAAAACAGTACATTGCCTTACCACTTTTCTTGTATTTATGGTGTTCTACAATATCTATATAACTCATAAGTCTGAAATTTCTCAAGGATCCACTCTCAAAAAATGTTAAAAATCATTTTATCAAAGAGAAAAGAATAACAAATTACTCAACAGACATGTTGCAAAACTAACTCTTACATAAGCTTGTATGTGTACAAACCTCAAAACATTGCAGTTTTCCTGGAAGTCCTTCAATAAATGGACTCTTTCCGTTCTCCTGTAGTAGATAAGTACATAATGTAGTGCATACATTATTATCATCATGACCCGAAGGAAACCATTATAAGACGGTTTAAAATTTTTTTTAAAAAGCGTGTATTGTGTTCTTATATTGCAGTCAAATTCTGTAGGATTACGAAACACACATGTGTACATACATGTACATGTAAATGAAACCAATTATCATAATCATCATTTTAAGTAACCAAGTAACTATATCAGGTATTAATATATTTTCCAGACGTCTTTAATATCATATGATACAAAAAAACGGTTTATGCAAGCTATTCCCACTTTCTGAAAATCGGGTAGAAAAAGGTGAAATTTCACGTGGGAGTAGGCGGAATTTTGTGTAAACAAATAATTAACTATGTTCTTAAATTTAGGTACTAAGTTGCTATTTCTTGTAAGATCTTTTTTACTATTTCAAAAATCCAAAATAAATCATATTTTCTCATAGATGTATTCATTATTTTCTGTCTTTAAATGTACAAAATACAGGTAAATCTAAACATCTATTGTTATTTGCAAGTGGGAATAAGTGGAATTGATATTTTTAAAAAGTGGGAATAGCTAGAAGACACCAAAAAAAAACGAGTCTAAACTGGTTTTTTATTATTATAATGTGTTTATGTTTTTTGTAAAATTAAAATTTAGATAAATTTCACCTTATTATGTTCCCCAAACGAAGTTGGGGAACATATTGTTTTTACTCTGTTTCTTATTATTATTATTTTTCTTCTTGGGAAAATTTTGTCCGCGAATGATCTTGTAAAGTACACATCCGATTAAGGGGAAACCTTTTTAGGATAAGTAGGCATGTTATGTAGATATGCGAAACGAAGGTCATTTTTCGCGCACGTGCTTGCAAGAGCGCGCACGTGCAACACGTGAAATGACCAATATACTTGAAATTGCCGTAACTTTTACATTTTTTGATGTAATGCTTTGATATTAAGAATATATAGACATATTTTAAATGTAGATAAGACGACATTGTCAACATGCCATTTTGAGCGCACGTGCTTGCAAGAGCGCGCACGTGCAACACGTGAAATGACCAATATAATGGTTATAGCCGTAACTTTTCTATTTTTTGATGAAATCTTTTGAAATTTATAATGTAAGGATATACTAATAGCGTGGACAAGATGACATGGTCAAAAAAGAAAGATCTCACGCGCATGCACGTGCGCTTCGCTCTGATTGGCTGAAACTAAAGTCTCTATATCTTTCTTGTTTTTCGACGAAATCCTATGAAATTTTGAACATAGCCATGCATTATGATATCCTACAACATGATATATAGCAATTATCATGACATCACGTGCATGCACATGTGCTGCAATCTGATTGGCTTAAACTTTAAATAGCTATAACTTCCTTGGTTTTCAACCAAACAGGATGGAATTTGGAACATAGATAGATATAATGAACTTCTACAAGACGGTATGGTCACCATGCACATGCATATACGTGCGTGAACGTGCGCTGTAATCTGATTGGCTGAAACTTTAAACAGCAATTTATCCCTTGGTTTTCAACCAAACGGGACGGGATTTAGAACATAGATAGATGTAAAGGACTTCTACAAGAAGATATGGTCACCATGCTCATGTATGCACATGCGTGCGCATGAAATGAGATAAATCAAAAATACACTTGAATGAGCGTATTTTTTAATACTTTTGGATTAAATACCTTAATATTTAGTATATAAAAAATATATAGATTGTGTAGACAAGATGATATGGTCATTACACACATGCATTCACATGCGCACGCATGTAATGCTAAAATTTGAATGAACTTGGCGTTGTTAAAGTCTCAAATGCATAGATTTTGTCCTATTTAATGAAGCTTATAGGGAATATAGCACCAAAAGGTAGTTGGGGAGCGTTTGGGGAACATCTGTAACGGTCCCCGTTACAATTAGCACTAGTTTTTATTAATTTAAGGAGCATAGACTCGATTGTAATGTGAATTTTTTTTCAAAAACAACCCCCCCCCCCAAAAAAAATTAGTTTTTCAACTATATGTCATACGTGCTGCAAGAAACTCCAGGTAAACAATGTATATCTAGATAATCATTATAGCTAATTTCTTTTTTTAAATAACGACTTTTAGGATCTTAAATTGTTAAACATACTTTTACGTTCTCGAACTTCAGTTTATCTTGAGCGTTAAAGAAAACTAGAAAATCTCTAGTGTTTTCATGGAATGTATTAACGCCATCATCAAGAATTATCTATTAAGAAAGGTAATTAAGACAAAGAATATGGCATTAACGTAATGTAGTCAACGTTCAATGTTGTGTAAAGGTAGAAAATCGAGCACACTCGGTACATGTAAAAAAGTATTTTCAGAAAATATAATCAATGAAATAATTTGAACTAAATTTATAATTGACAATGATTTTATTCATGACAGCTGTTATTGTAAACGTAGAATCTAGCACTGTTATTCTTACACTAAATATTAACGGGTGTGTTCAATTCGCTTCCCTTTACACAACATTCAAAGTTGACTAAGAACCATGAATACTTGCATAGTTTTGATAAATCATCCTTGTGTATTCTGTTCTAAGATCTTCCACTCCATCATTGATCATATCCGCTCTTGTTGCTTCCTTGTTGTTAGAACCATACAAATCTAAAGGGGATCAAAAAACAAAATTAAACGAATTTTATTATACACTCGGATTTCAATCTAATTCTTCTATATTTTGCATGACATACAAATGTCTTTAAATAAAAAAAATGAAATTACATTCATTCAGGAGATGAAGTTTTCATCTAACTTATGTTTTACATTCTAAAAAAAATGTTCTATTACTACGGATATTATTACTCGTACTTTAGTGTGAGACCTTTAACTTTTATTTATAAAATTTCTTATCAATAACAAAACACTCTAGTTAAACCAATCACAGAGTAATCACCATAATAAACAAGAGTGATATGCCACGCACATTTTAGAATTCTATTAAGACGGTTGAAAACTTCTTTGTAGACTATTATGAAATCAGAAATTCATTTTACGTTTCACATTCCTTCTTATTCCGAGTTTGCACATGACAATAGACAAGACTAGATGAATCTTACCCAGTTTTCTAGCCAGATATCTGAGAATTGCATTGGACTGTACAATTTCTACATCTCCATCTTTCAAAAAGGGACACTGACCAAATGCCTAGAAGATTGAATTATGCCAGTTAACCCAGTCATCACAATTGTTAATGCTTTTACTATATGTGCATTTATTTACGCAAATGTTCAATTTAATTTATATTTCTATACCTAGACTAAATAAAATGCATATTTTACACTCTCCACTATTTTTTCACAATTCTTTATTAACTATTCTTTGTAGGAAAAGTTTTTTTACTTCAATCTTTAAACATTGACTTTATTAATTCAGAAAACTTCTAGGTATTTCAACACAAAATAAAATACTCATTGCAAAGCAATTAATATAAGATCATAAAAAAACTAAAAAATGTGTTCAAGGAGACTACGACTAACCATTTTTGGTTTCCATTCCTTCACCCAGTTGTCGAATGTCCCAACATCAATTTCTTCATATTCCACATTGTTGTCAACCATGAGTGTCCTTATTGCCTCACCACGGCCTACAAAAACATGCTAAAGAAATACATTATTTCCTATACAACATTTTCAACATAAATAATAATAATATAGGATTATTGAATTATATTGTTGAATATTGGCAGGAGTAGCTCAAAAAATGAGTTTGCGACTGTATTTTTACAGCCAATGAGTACAAATATTCAGCAATATAAGATCAGTAACTTCTTTATTATATAGGTAAAACATCATCTATTGAGAAATATTTTATTTGAATTAAAAATTCCTCAAATATATAGGATTTTTGTGGTATATGTTTTTAAATTAATTTCTTTTCTGTAATTGTTCAATACCGTATTATACTAATGACCTTACATTCCTTAGGTTATGATATTCTTATTGCGGTTCATTGAGGCAAATATGTCCTAAACTATTGATAAATCAATTCAATTTAGTGTGAATAAATAAATATATATTACCTAGCTACCACTACATATCACACGTTTACCCCCAAGAGTTTAACCATGCATATGACATATTTTGATAACAACTTGGCATTTGCGTTTGAACACTCATATTAAGTATGCATGTTTCTGACGTAGATCTACTCCATATTCGTAATACAAACTTAGTGTTCAATAAAACGTCAAGACATTGAACGGTAATATTTTCTAGACATTTTGTAGATATTTATTATAGACTTTTCATTAGCTCTATAATAATTCTTCATATTTTTTTCAGTTGTACAAGTGTAGAAATGCGGTTGAATACGTTTAATCTCACGCTGGTAGTACCGAGAGCGTTCATCTGTTCATGTTTACATACCTTCAATGTCGACTATGCTCATGTTTCTATTACATAGTGCATCAAAATTGTCGAGATAATAACATTTTATCAAAGTAAAAAGAATTTTATTTTTATCAAATACATACCCCAGACCTGAAAGTACACTAACTGTATTTTAGCCATGTTATTTCTACAAACACGCGACGGACAATATTCTAGTAACAAAAACACGTAATATATATCTCTACCCTTACAAGCTGACCTACTCGGCGCGTTATCTCATTTTTAGAAATCAAACTATGTTCTAATCAATACAGAGAAACCTGATTTACAAACTGCGATAATTTAAAAATGTTGGATTTTTTTTTTGGGGGGGGGGGAATTGTGATAGAATTTGTTTAATTAATGCTAAAGGAAATACTTTTTAATTATTTCTATATCTTCTTTGTATCTGCTCTTAAATTCGTTCATAAAAATTTACAAAATTTTGCCAAAAGATTTATCAATGTATTATAATTTTACCATAGACAAATTAACTTAAATCTAAATACAAGTTTAATAAATAATGTTTAGATGTTCTTACTTAAAAAACATTTTTTCTGAGCGTATTATTCAGTCCAGCCTGAAAATACATCTACAGAAACACGCACAAATGTAAACCTATAGGGTTTAGCACAGACATATTGTTTGAACATTTTAAACGTAGACAATATTAATATCATAATCATTTTTAGTTATTAGTAGTGAAAGTAAAATGATATAAAGGTTTATTAAATCAGAATGTATATTATTAGTGACTCAAATTCGGTGACTTTATAATTGGAAAAGGGACTTTAATTTTGTAAACTTTATTAAATCAGAATGTATATTATTAGTGACTCAAATTCGGTGACTTTATAATTGGAAAAGGGACTTTAATTTTGTAAACTATTATTATTTTGTTAAAACAAATTGGATTTTGTTGTTGTTCAAATGCACTATAATTTGGTAAATCATTTTTAATGAAATTGATCCGAATAGACCAATCAAGCCCATCGATACTAAGTAATAAAATTTGAACGGAAATACAATGGTATTATTAAGAGTTTTAACTAAGAACAATGAAATTGGGAAATTTGAAGTAAATAAGTGAAAGAGCTTAGGGCTAGAACTCCTGTAGTGCAGAGATGGGGACTGAGCCCATAAATATTAGTAATGAGTATTTACCTGCATTTAAGGGTGGTGCCATGTTGGGGTTCATAGGTCAACGGACAGACCTACGGGCAAGGTGTAAGTGGTTAGTGATGGTGAGTTAGCCAATGAAATGCATCTTTATATCCGGGACCATGGATACCCACTGAGCACAAAATACCCTGTTTTGTTAGAAAAGAGCATTCCCGATCTTAATTCCCGTTCTTATTCCCGTTTTTAATTCCCGGTCTTATTCTCAAATTATCAATTATCTCTTCGTCTTTTATTTTTGGGAATCATTCTTTTGGACTTTTGCTTATTTATTTATTGGGAGTTCGGTCTTTAGCTCTTTTGTGATTTGGACGGACCCTTTGAACAATTATATCAACAGTGCATTGGTTTATACGGATCAAATTTCAAATTTCTAAAACGCTTACTAAAAACCAATACGATCACGGAGAAATTGTAAACTTGGATTCATTTAATAAACTTTGAAAACAAAGACAAGTTTTCTTCATTGGCTTACACATATTCGCGTTAGTATCTTTTAATGAAATAGTTTATTGTAGATTAGAACAAGTGCTTAAGACAGTCAAGTTTTTTCTCTGTAGATTTTAAAGTTTTGGTCCCATTTTTTTCAGTATATAGTTAAACCCAGGAACTCATTTTTCAGATAATATAAACAAAGTTTGAGAAAGATCGTGCCATCTTTAAAATAATGTTTGCTTGCATGCCCTCTCCCGACTCAGGGTAAAATTATTGGGTCGGTAGGTAGGTGGGAAAATCTTTTTACAGAAAATTTTAACATATTTAATAAGATAAGAGGAATACTTTAAGAAGAAAACAAATCGTGTCATGGAATGTAAAAACAGTTTTGAGATGGACCATTTTTAGTCAGTCGATCGAGAGAGGACAACAAAACTTTTCTGTAACATGATCTTCCCTAAAAGAGAATGTTTCTGGTCTGATTGATTGAAAACTAATGGGTCTTCTTTTTTGAAGAAAAATAACTAGTTAAACTATCTATTTCCTCAAGCAATTTATTTTGCATGTTACATTTATATTGCGACTAACATTCAATGCGCTATTTTTCTCCAATTTTTTTTTTTTTAAAAATATCAAGGGAATAATTCAATGCAATAACAGTATATCAGCAATTAAAGTCTGATTGTATGCACTGTTGTCTCCATATATGCATTTTTCTGTGGATTAGGCCACTCGTCCAATATTTTCTTCCTAAAAGAAGAAGAAAATCAAACCATCACTTTGAACATCATTCTTCTTGATAGAATTTTTTCATCATTTGATTGGAATGAAAGATTACAATTTCATACTTTACATTACAATATTAAACTTAAATATAAACAAAACAACAAAGGATTATGAATAACAGTTCATGTAATTATTTGATTTCTCTTAGACACAAATAAAATTCTGTCCATTGATTTAGTGATATTTACAACGTTTCACTGTGTAAATTATCTCTAAATAATTTTAATTTTCCTAGTGCAAAAATGGGTTTCAAGTTATCATTAGTGAAAGATATAAAATAATCTTAGGGAAACATACATGTAATGGTAAAACTAAGACTAATAAGATGCTTAATGAAAGATTTTTTTTAAGAAAACATGCAAGAATGTGGTGCTTTTTTCTACATTACTGTATACAGGGAAATTTTCGCCCCCGTTTTATTTTCGCCCCTTTCGTCTTAGTCGGAAGTGGGCGAATTTAAAACGGGGCGAATTGAATATAAATGGTATAATATCTTCAACAAAAATCTTTCTGGGCGAATTTTAAACGGGGCAAACTTGTTTCCAATTGTGAAAGGGCGAAAATAACAAGGGGCGAAAATAACCCTGTATACAGTATTTTCAATTAAAATCTGACAATGACATAAACCAACAGTCTACCGTCAATCTCTTTCAATCAATTTGAAGTACAGTGTAATGATAAAATACTGAAAATATGGAAATAAGGAACAGTATTTAAGATCAGAAGTTCATTCAAACAAAACTAATCAACAGCAGAGCAAACAAAAACTTCAGAGGAGGGGGTGAGCATCCTCTGTCGATCAGTCACTTCCGGTGTGTTTCTTTTTATGATTGAAACATATTGGGAGAAATCCGTTGACAATTCAGTTTGTAAATAATATTTAAAAAATAGTAAGTCAATATTTTACTGTTCACAAGGTCACAAGATCATGGTATCGACCATAAAAATGATAACTTTAAACAAGGCTGTTGATTTTCTTTTTTCATCAACTTGTTTGTCAAGAAGCTTCCTCTTTTCGTAAATTATTCATAGGTATAGAGCATGCTCTTGCTCATCGAATCAACTGAGGGATGCAAACTCTTGAATACCTTTCTAGCAGATTTCATCACTGTTTTCCATTTCCATTGATCTTTATTCCTTTGAAGTGCTCTGTTGCCCTTCTCTTTTGGACTCCTGGTCTGTTCATCATACGATTATGGTAGGCCTTGAGTGTGGGAAAGGCATCCAGACAGGAGGGAGATAAGGTCACCAGACAGTCCAAAAGGTCAAACAGATTATAGTCCGTAAAGCAAACCTGCAACCAAATCGAGGTAGATTGTGGAGAACATGTAAATCGACATCAATTATAAACTTAAATTTTAAGGTAAGTCACTCCTCAGCTTTTTAGAAAAGTTCACCCAGAAGCTTTTACTTCAAAACTACTTATCAAAATTCAATTTTTATAACATATTTAAATTCAACAATGTAAATTTTTCAACATTCAATGAAAAAACTGCTCAAAAATCTACAAAGAAGCAAGATTTATGAGGGACTATTTCTTTTGGTGGAAGGATATTTAGCAGAAAATTCTGCAAATCTGCACATTTATAAAATTTAATGCATGGAAATTTAGCCTCACATACTTTTACTCGGAGAATATTTTCCGTTTTCATATTGCTAAAAATATTTAAAATAGGTCTTAATTTATATTTTTAGACCATGTTTTACACCTTCCCTCAACAAACTTTTCCAAAAAATGAAAATATATTAAAGAAGTCAAGATCAAATTTACACCATTTTTTGCCTGAAAATCACATATTTTGACAAATATTTCAAAATTAACATCATTGACCCCACCTTTTTCTTTCATTATTTTAAACTACTCGATACTTGTGACTGATCAGCACTTAAGTCGTAAAAAGTTTGATATAATAAAATTTTTTATTGCCTATTAAGTTTTTAATACACCAAATATGTTATTTTTTAGTGCAAAAAGGTCACACAATAATTTACGCGCATCAATTTGCAAGATTTGTTTAATGATAAATATTATTCAAACTATTTTACGTAAAATAAGATTATATTTATTGCCATGCTTACATCTGATCAAATATAATAAGGGTTAAAGTAATTAACAAGAGATAAAATTTAAGTGCAAAAAGGTCAACTTAAATGTACCGTTGATCAGTAGGATGCACACTGACCCCCTATTTTCTTTGCGATTTTGAGTTACACTTTATGAGTACTTATCCAAAATATACTTCTCAAAAAATCCTTGATTTAACAAATTTCAGGAGTGACTTACCTTAATAGTAGAATATCAAATTTTAAATACAAATATCTCATTATAGTTTTTGTATGATGTTTAACTCCCCCCTCGAGAATTTTTCACTCATGCAGATGCCATCACTTGCCGATGCAAATATTAAAACTATGAGGAATCATTTTCGTGCCAACATGTATTGCGACATAGAATCTCGCTTTAAAAGTCTCAATCGAAGGACTGGTCTTCACATCCTGCAGTGGATTCGAAGCACTATATTCGGCACCCAGGGCCATTACATTTTTTTGCGAGACGGGACCTTTGTATAGACGGTCTAACCCACCCCCAAGGTCCCTCAGTGGGATTTGAAACGCAATGCAAGAATCATTACTGCACAACTCTAGAGAAAAGGCTCAAAACACTTTTTCAGAAAAGGGGGAAACTCCAGAAAACAAATTATGATGGGTCGAATGCTTTATGAAAATGGGTAGTACATATAGATAATATACTACGGACATTTCATAGAAGGGATAATTTTAATTACATTTAT